CAGGTGGTGATAACTGTGCTATTGACACTGGACCATACACACAAAACCAACAAAAAACCCAAACATTGACGATGAAGAACCTGTGGCAATCCATAAGTTGTTAGGCTCCACATTCTATAAGCTCCACAGGTTCCCTATCCATGGTGTAATGGGTAATGTTAAAACAGCTTGGTTTGGCTTCCCCTTCAAGCTACCCTGCATGTTTGTGTGTGCCATGAACAGGTCAGAGGAAGATGCACATTGCGAAAGAGAATCCCTTTCTCTCCCCCTCCCCTCCCATCTTGGGGTTGTAGAATGGGATCTTTGGCATTTCCGAATTGTGTAACAGGAAATAAACCCACAAATTAGAAGATGTTATGGGGACTTTGTGAATTAAAATGGTTAGGCATACCTGGGAATGTTATCAACGCACATTTAGATTTAAGGAACTTCCAGATGTTTGCTTTCGACTGTGCTTGTAGTGCCAAACCAGGAAATGAAACAGGAAGTACCTCATAAAAGTGGTTTTTGTTATGCTGGTGGACTGTTGCTACCATTACTGGTTTTGGATGGCAGTTGCTATTTTGTTCCTCTGTCTTGATCCTGCCAATACTTTTTGTAGTAGAGGGCATCAACACGAACCAGTTACCTACAGAGAATCACAATCTTAGCAAAAGACAGTACAGTGGTACCTCGGGTTAAGTACTTAATTCGTTCCAGAGGTCCGTACTTAACCTGAAACTGTTCTTAACCTGAAGCACCACTTTAGCTAATGGGGCCTCCTGCTGCAGGAGCACGATTTCTGTTCTGTTCTCAACCTGAAGCAAAGTTCTTAACCTGAAGCACTATTTCTGGGTTAGCGGAGTATGTAACCTGAAGCATATGTAACCTGAGGTACCACTGTAGATTAAAATTGCTACAATTCTGCACATGTTGAACAGCCGCAGAATTAAAAGTATAACAGTTGAATGTGGTTTTATATTTTTTTCAGTTTCATTTTACATTACAGTCAAACCTTGGTTGTCAAGCATAATCCATTCCGGAAGCCCGTTTGGCTTCCGAAATGTTGGCTTCTGATTAGCTGCCGGAGCTTCCTGCACTCAGTGGAAGCCACGTTGGATGTTCAGCTTCTGGAAAACGTTTGAAAATTGGAGCATTTACTTCCAGGTTTTTGGAGTTTGGGAGCAGAAACGTTCCAAAACAGAGGCGTTTGGGGACCGAGATTTGACTGTATTTGTTTTTTAGACTGTAAGCCGCCTAGAGATGAAAAGTAGGCCATCATTCATTTGATGGTTTTTATGCAACAACAATATTTACAGAATAGGTGCATGTTCTTAGTAGCCTGGACAGAGGTGATCAGGAACATGCTCTAAGAAGAACGGAGGGAGAACCTGTTTTTTCTAAGAACACTTTGTTTGCCCTTAGGCACAGAGATTTGATTATGTCAGTGTCCCATGAAGCACAATCCTAAGTATTTTTCTTCAAAAGCAGGCATCAGAATTCAATGGGGCTTACTTCCAATTAAATGTATACCTTATTTAATTTTAATACGTTGGCTTTCAGAGATTACCCTTCCCAAGGAGGCAGCCAATATTACAGTTTTGAAACATGAAAAAAATGATAACCAACTGTTGCTGGCATCTGTTTGTCTCAAGATACAATCTGTGTGCCTCTGGGGGTGAACTCAAACTGCTGTGTTAGCAGCACTGAAGTGATCTCCCCTGGGCAGTGTGTATGGAGGTCCTGGGCTGCCCAGATGACAAGATCCCCCTCTCGGCCTCGCTGATGTAGGCTAAAGGAAAGCAGAGCAATATGTTTGGCACCAGCATGGCTATAGGAATTGCTGGATGGAGACGTACAAGGCACTATCCAGCCGTCTTAGGGACTTCACTCTGAATTTGTGCAGGGTTTACTCCTTCATCTGTTCTTCTCCCAAAGATATCCTGCAAGACAGCAGAGGTTTAGAATCAGAGTTTTCCTTTTATACGGGCTACCTTCCCAGGGTTGGGGTGTATAAACAACTAAGATATCAAAAAAGATTATAACAACTAAGATATCCAAAAAGATTATAAATTCATCAGAAAAACAGCATCAACAGGTTTCTGCAAAGCAGCAAAGCAGACATCAAAACAGGAGCAGTTAAGTATAAAGCATGTGCAACAGAACTTCCTCCCCTGCCCCATGCTCCCCAAATGTGCTCTGGGTCCGTCCCCCCCCATCTTCTGGAGCAGATTTGGGTGTTGTGCAATGGCGTGCAGGAAAAGGAGACGGGGGAAGTTCTGTCATGCTCATGGCAGTTCTTCAGCACACAATGATTTAATTGGTTACAACCCAGAGTGACTGGCCCAAGACCACCCAGTAAACTTCAAGATTGAGTAGGAGTTTCTTCTCAGTTGTAGCAGAACACCCTAACCACTGCACCACCCTAACTCACAGGGACAGTTTATTGTTACTGAAGTAATCAGGATTCAGGTTGCTAGAACTTGTCCTTGCCACGCTGTTTTACCAGATAGGAGCAATCTCAGCCATTTAGCAGGCCCAACTTTCTCATTTAGTAGTGGACATGGATCGTAGGACCACACAGAGAACAGGATTATTTTTCAAATGAAAGCTGCAATCCTATCCACACATTAAGGAATGCAGCCCATTGAAAACAGTGGGACTTGCTTCTGAGAAAACATGTGGGCAGTTATAAGCCACATTCCCAGCTTGTCCTTATTTTATTATGATCTGCTCTGAAAAGATTGGTGGTGCTCACTTCTCCTTTTTCAGTCTAAACTGTCCTGGAATATAGCCGTTTGGAAATTGCGGAGTTGATTTTAAAGTTCCCTGTTTTATTTTCAGAACTCCTTAATTCTGGGAAACAGTCGCCACAGAGACTGAATCTGTTCTAGGGAAGGGAATTAGCTCAATGTGTAAGGGCCATGGTTCTGCCACTGGGGGTTGCTGGGTTGTGGTGACCCATGGCACGGCCTTTTTGGTGGTGGTTCCCTGTTTGCTAAATCCCATGCCTAATGATGTATTTCAGTCTTGCTTGCTATTGGCTTTTGGGATAAATGTTAAAACATTCCTGTTTACCCGGGCATCTGATGGTTGAAAGTTAGTTGTAGTGGTTTAGTATTTATGTGTTTACCACTCTGGACTCACTTTGGGGAAAGTGCAATATATAAATGTAATAAAGAAATAAATACAGAACTCCGTGGCAGAAGCATCTGCTTTGTATGGAAAGGTTCTCGGGTTCAGTCTCCAGCAATTCCAGGTAGGGCTGGGGAAGACCTGCCTAAAAGCCTGAAGAGCCATTTCCAGTCGGGGTAGACTATAGTGATCTAGATGACTCGTGCAAGGCAGTTTCCTGTGTTGTTGAACACACTGCTTAATGTACATGAGAGATGTGTTGCAGCGCAAGCAAGTGCTAGAAGCTGTGTTCTCCAACCTAAACACGCTTTCCTCCCATTGCTACAAACTTTCTGTGGTTGCTAACTGGGGACAACTCAGGGACACTGTATTTTTTTCCAGCTGGTAAATGTATTCTGTGTTTCCAGATCCAATTCAGTATATATTTCAGCATGCACACTGAACACAATGTGACTTACTTCTGAGTAACCATACACAGGAATGCTCTGCTTTTCATTGCCCCACCTTTCCTCTTGGAGCCCAGTCCTAAATGACGGTACTCACTTTTACAGTAAATGGGATTTGTGTTTTTCAAGTTTAGGATAGACCCTTCTCTAGCAGTGTTGCAAGTTAGCCTCACATCAGCCAATCCTATGAATGCTCACTCAGAAACGAGGCCGGAGGAATACACAGAATTGCAACCGAAGTTGAGCTGGGATTTGAATTTGTGCTGCCCGCAAGAGCTCTAAATAAATGCTTTGGGGGAATCAGGGTTTTGGAAAAGGGCACGGTCGCTTTGCCCTGGCTCAAATTAATAAGCGACCCTCCGGCTGCGATCTCCTACCCGCTTATTTGGGAGTAAGCCCAAATACTTTATTTGGGAATACTTTCGACTGGCATATTGCACAGTTAATTTCCCTGCAGCTCAAATACTACGGCGCAACGCTACGCATATCTACTAAGAAGTCCCACTGATTCAACGGCACCTCCTTCCAGATAAGTGGGTGCAGGACTGAAGCCTAAGGACACTGATATGTTTTAAAACAAATTTCTTTCTCTCTTTGCGTAAACCGTCCTGCGTGTTTGAAGGACGGGTTGCCCATAATAAGTGAAGCGTCACAAGCAAATGCCTCTTTCGGAGTGGCTTCGTTGGGGATTTCGGGACTTTTGTGGCCCGTCCGTTTCGCAAAGTTGGGGCAACGAAGAGGAGCCGCGCGCGGCGGCGGAGCCCTCACCCCTCAACCCCGCCGCCTTCCACGTCCCTTGACAGACCTCGCCGGCTGCCTCCAGCGCTTGGAAATAGTCCCGGTGGCTTCGAGGGACTGGACCCTCTCCCAGAGAAAGCGACGGACAGGAGGGCGGCGATCACCCTCCTCAAAGCGCGGAGAGAGGAGAATCCTTCCGCATTTGACACCTCCGCAGCTGCAGGCACGACTCGAGGCTCGCCGACGAGCCCCTTCTTAACCCACCTCCAGCTTTGGAAGCGCCCTTCTCCCCTTTCAGCCGGGGCTATTTGCGCAGTTCCCGCGCGCGCTGGGAGGAGACTGAGGAGAAACCATTGCGGGGGGGGAGGCTACCCGCGTCGGAATCCCCAGGGAGGACGAGGAGTGGGCTGGCGAGCTTCTCCCCCTCCCCAGTCCCAGAGCGCTGAGGGAGGAGGAGGAGGAGGAGGAGGAGAGTCCACCACCCACCTACCTCCCCGCCCCCGCCCCGCGCAGCTGGAGGGCCATGCTAGGGAAAGAGGCCACGCTTCCCAAACTTCCTGCCCCACTTTCCTCAACAGCCGGCTGCCAGGAGGTGCCGCCGCCGAGCGCGCCCCAAGTGTGAGGAGCGAGGAGAGAGCCGCCTCAGGAGCCGCCGCCGCCTCCCCCCTGAGGGGACCGTGAGCCCGCCACCCTCTCCGCGCAATGAGCGAGCCCCGGGAGAAGAAGGCGCCCGCGGCTTCGCCCCCCGGCGGCACTGGCAAGGGCCCCGCCGTCGTCTCGCTGCTCTTCTCGCTCCTCTCGGTGGGCGCCTGCTTCCTGCTCAACGCCAAGACCTCTCGGCTCGAGGGCCGGCTGGTGGCCCTCGAGGAGGAGTTGGCCGCCGGCCGCGCGTGGAGCCCCGGCGAGCAGCTCGGCGCCGAGCCCCTGCTCGCTCTGCTGCAGCCTCAGGTGGACGGGCTCCTGCAGGAGGTGAGTGGGCAGGGAGGCGGACGGGCTGCTGACGCCTGCGACGCCTAGGACTCTGGAGGCGGGCGGTGCTGCGGCAGCTCTCTCCGTCTCCAGCTTCTCCAGCAACTCGCGGTGATTGACAGGGATCCACCGTGGCGTATGCCAAGAGCTCTGAGCCGCGTGAAGAGTGCCTTCCAAGGCTGACCAAGCCTGGGAGCTTCACGAACGGGTCGTGGCCAGAGCTTTCGATCGGATGAAGCGCTGGCAGACCGTCGCTCCCCCAAGCGCGCGCTGTGCTATGTTCGCCTTGAAAGTGCCTTCCAGGACACTGGTGTCGCTTCTGCTGCAGCAGGCGAATCGGGTTACCTCTTCTCACTTAGCTGCTGGAGGGGCAGGCAGACTAGCGTCTCCAGCTTCTTTGAATGCGAGGTTTATGGGGTGCCCTTGGTTGCGTGCTGTTATCCTCCTCCTCCCTCCAAGGAGTTTGGAACAGCGTTCCTTATCCTTCTCTCTCCACCCTCTTCCTCATTAAAACAGCCTAGGCTGAGATATATCGACTGGCCCAGTGTCGTGCAGTGAACTGAGTGGCTTAGAACTCAGATTTCCTTGGCCCTAGTCACACACTGCCAGGAAAATATGTTCAGATTCCAGGGCTATGAGTTCCAAAAGGTGGGGAGCAAAAGAGTGCTTTTGAGCATGTGCAGAATGCTGTCCTTCAGTACACTACAGCGAGATCCAGTACATCTGGGATTAGAGGAGAAAGAGCTTTCAGATCAAAGGGTGTGATTTCATAGAATCATAGAATTGTAGCATTGGAAGGGATCACAAGGATCATCAAGTCTCCTGCAGTGTGGGAATCTTTCACCCAGCATGGGGCTCAAACCCAGGACCCTGAGATTAAGAATCTCATGTTCTACCAACTAAGCTATCACTCAGGGAAAAGCTTGGCCATCAGCACCTTTTGAAAACATGCATTGGTGACTGAATCAAATTTTCAAAAACAAGCTCTATGGACCACTGAAGAAGTTTGAATATTACGAACAGCACATTCTGTAAGACTGAGGAAATCCCCATCATTTTAACAATAATTCCTCAAAATAAGAGGTACTTTAGTAACCTTTTCATGTTAGTGCTATTGTAAGATTTAAAGAGAAATTTAATTGCATTTCTCGAGTACTTCTGAATAGAGTTGCAAAGGTTTACAAAGTGTGACCCATATCTTGGAGCTTGTGTGCTAATTGCATGATGAAAAGCATTTTGATGGATTCTAAGGCTTGTATGGAAGCAAAGTGCCAAACATTTTACTGCTTACAAAAGTTAATTGTGTTTCCTCAAGAGGACCTTCCTAATTGCCCAGCTTCTTTGATCTGTGTGGTGATGAAACTTCATGATTCTCCACTGGTGGGTTCTCTTTTTGTGAGAACCACTAATATAAATGTGAGAAAGAGCCTTGTGGCACCATAAAGACCAACACATTTATTTATTTATTGCATAAGCTTTCATTATAATATAAATATACAAGTCTTTAAAGTGCACAATGCTTTTTAATTATTCTGTTGCAATGAGCTAATATTGATTATCTCTCCAGAGACTAGTGTGAAGGTTCATGCCACAGGAGACAGAGAATGATATTGAACCAGTAGTTTTAGATAACATTCATTATGACACTTAGGGTTTTCTTATCCATAAGACTTTGGAGTATGTGCCAGCTGTTTGAATTCTGGAGATCATGGATAGACCTTTTAATTGTTAAACGCTTCAGATCCAGACTCGCACTAAGAGCACAGTTTCCCTGTGAGTTGTCTTGATATTAGATTGTACAAGACAGCTCTTGGTTGTGAATACTTTATGAAAAATATATGTAAAATAAGGCCAGAGTAAATCATTAAGTAGGTATAGCTCCATTATGGAAAAATTGCCCCCAAGTTGCTCAATGTTTAAACCTGACAGCAGTGTATATAGGCTGTCTTTAACCTGTTTTGCTGTTGATTGTGAGCAGCCAAGTGAAGGAAATAGTAGCAGGGAGTTTTCAGATGGACCTGACGGATACAGATCTTGCAGAGCTTCAAATGTCATCCATCAAACATGGACAGTTCTGGATAGTGTGGGCATGCTTCCCAGGCTACATGGATTCTTAAGTCTGCTGTATTACTAACAGCTCATTCATGTAAGGCAATTGTCCAATAACTGTTAAGCATATTCCATCCTAATCCCTTTGCTGCCACAGTAAAACTTGCAGTATAACCTGGAGTGCGCTCCTGGCTATAGATAGAGCACTTATATCAGTATTTTGGATTTGGGATGGAATTTCTATGTCGTTTGTATGATCAGTTCAAGGTTATTTGTATGTGATAAATAACTAGCCTTCCCTAGCCTGCTGCCCTCCAAATGTTTTGGACTACAACTCTTATTGGTCCCAGCCAGCATGGCCAGGTTGGTGAGGACTGATGAAAGCTGCAGTCTGAAACATCTGAAGGGCACACGGTTAGGAAAGACTGATCTAGAAGAGCAAGAGGGGAGGAGTGGGGAAGTCGCTTTTGGAGTAGTAGTAGTAGTGGAGCAAAAGGAACTGACATAGCAGAATCAGTTCTTTACTTGGAATGATAATTCCAAGATATGGACAGCATATATGTTGGTTTGATTTTAGTTTGAAGAGGCATCATTGTAAAGATAGCAAAATACAGATGGGAGGCAAAATCTTAGCTCTCTAATGGGAACTTTCATCCCTGTCCAGATACATTTTGCAAATCATTAATTTTTGTTTAGTATTACAAATTGTTTCTTGCCCTATAAAATGGAATCAGATTGTTGGATAATATTTAATTGTTGAGCAATTTTTGAGCATATTTGAGAATTTTTTTGAAGTCTTTTGACTGTACTGAAGCACTTGGATGATAAATCAATGAATAATTAACACCGTTGATTAACCATTGATTAACATCATGTATGGGCGGGGTAATAATAATAATAATATATTATTACTACTACAATTACTAAGTCAGCTGCTTTGTTTTAAATGAGTGCCAGGAAAATTCTATGTGTGTCTGCTCCAGGTTAAGTTCTGAGCTTATATCCAGGTATGTGTGTGTAGGATTGCAGTCTAAGGCTGCAAAACTTTACACATTTAGTGGTGTATAAGCCCAATTGAACTCAGTGGACTTCTCAATAAACACACCTAGAATTACACTATAATGTCTTGCAAGTATTGGCTATGGTGAAGGTTACATTTCCATGATGGGCATTTACCAAGATCATATTTACATTCGTATAAACAAATAATATGGAAATCCATATGTTCCTTAGGGAATGCTTTCCTATTATTTATGTTCTTATGATGATAGGGTGGCCAGGTGAAAGAAAGAAAGTATTAGTTGTGTAGAAGAGAGAATTTTATGTAAGCTACACCTGCTGAAATTTCATTCTCTGCACAACTATTAAAGCTGCAAGAGCCCTCACCTCTCCTTTACTTGGCCACCCTAGTAGTAGGCTCATATACTTAGCAACACTCCCTGAAACTTACTACTACACGTTAGGTGTTTGACAGTTAAGGATTGTGCATTACTTGTTGCGTTATGTGAATCACTTCCTTTTATAATATTGTCATGTATGTCAGAAGATAATTCTTAGCCTCAAAATCCACAGTATGAAGAACTAGTTCTTCATTGCCTTCCTATATTTTATAAGATGGTTCACTGGTTTCCTTGATGCTATTTGCTCATGTGCATAAGCCACAAATGGACTTGATGGATTCGGGATTTGAACAATTCACTGATTGACTAAGGAATAATGGAAGGCAGTATAGAAAAGCAATCTTAAACCTTGGAAGTTCTTTTTGCTAAAGCATTTCCTTAAGGGAAGCAAATGTAATGTTGCCTATTAACTGTGTTGCCGGCTTGTTATTTTTAGTTGTTATGGGACAGTGCCAAAGAAGGGAGGAGATGTCACTGAAGGGAGATCAGTGATGGCATGCTAGTTGAAAGAAGAGAGCTCCAAGGGGGCATTGCAGCATGTGGTATAGCTCACTCTCATACTGCACAAAATGTCCCAAGAGTATCTCTGTAGGTGAAACCACACAGTCATGGAGATCTCAAATGAACTTGCATAGAAATATTCTTAAGGACAGGAACAGCTTGTCAAAGGGTGAACATTTCTCCCAGGCTACCACCTCTCTGATCTGTCAGACCTTGTCCTAAAGGAAACCTGTAGAATTCCTCTAATCAATATGTTAGGAAATCAATTACTTTGGTGAATACACAGAACAAATAGGCTAAGTAGAGAAACTTCTCTGTTTTTGTTAATAGATTGTATATAGCTGGGAAAACTGCCTTCCTCCAACGAACATTCAGAGTTACTTTGGAGGCAGCCAGTTTGCCCAGCTATATCCATCATTATCTTGGAACTGGTCCTCACCAACAGGGAGAAACTGACCGACAACGTGGAAGTACTGGGAACTTTGGGAGGATGTGATCGTGTCCTTTTGAGCTTCATTATACAAAGGCATTTTGATTCAAAAATAAAAAAGATTAATGCTTTTCATGAAATATTTTTCCATCTTATCATGCATTTGCCACTTTTAGTGAAATCCTATGCAATCTTGTTCAGAGGCAAGTCCCATAGAGTTTAATGGAGTCTACTCCCAGGTAAATTGTGCATAGGGTTACAGCCCAAATGACAGTTCCAATTTGTATGTTGTGCCCTGCATTTTTTCATTTACAGTGGTACCTTGGTTTAAGAACAGCTTAGTTTATGAACAACTTGGATTAAGAACGCTGCAAACCCGGAAGTAGGTGTTTTGGTTTATGAACTTTGCCTTGGAATAAGAACATGTTTCGCTTCCTGTTGAGTGTGTTCCATTTGTAAATTGAGTCCCCTGCTGCTATGGGAAAGCACACTTTGGTTTAAAAACACTTTGGTTTAAGAACGGACTTCCGGAACAGATTAAGTTCATAAACCAAGTTGCCCTGTGTTTGCATTGTGCTTTTGTCACTTTGGTTCCAGATAAATCCTTAGGATGGCTTACAAAATCAAACAACTTAATATTTTTTATAGAATAAATCAGTTAAATCCCCATAAACAAGTGCAAATTGCACTCCAAAAAGTAAACATAAAAAGTTGCTTGAAATAACACCCAACTCACTTCTCAAACCCCTGCTAAAATTTATGTTTTCACTGTTCTCATGTTAGATTGGAATCTGTCTGGCAGGCTTTCTTGGGAAGGGAATTCTTATTCTTAAAATTTATATTCCACCCTTCACCTGAGGATCACAGGGCAGTTTACAATATAAAGAAGAGCAGTTAACTACTGAGAGAGTCCTGCTCTTTTGTGTCTGCCAATCAGGGCAAAGAAAAGACTCTGGGCTGGGTCTCTTCTAAGTGTATTCTGAGTTTGACAAAAGAAAATTTTCCTCAATCTTGGCTGTGGTTGTTAAGGGCTTAAAGGTTCAAACTAGCACTCAGAATTGCACTTGAGAAGAAGGTGGAAAGCAACTGGTTTTAGCATCTGGTTAATGTATTCCCTTTGGCTCACCCTGTAACTAATCAGGCAGACACTTTTGGACCTGGCAAAGTTTCTCAACAGTCTTTGGAGGCAACCCCATACAGAGTGCATTACAGTAGTCCACGCTGAAGGTTACAAAGCCATGTGTCTCAAAGGCCATCCTTCTGTAGGAGTGACCACAGCTGCTAAATGAGTCAAAACTGAGGGGTTTTTATATTATTATTAATCACAGTCCTACCTGGAAATTCAGGTGTGTTTTATCTTGTCTTCTTTTGATTGTATGAACTTTTAAAGGCAGGGATTATCTCTTACTGTGTTAGAAAAATGCTTATAAGTGGTTTTAGTTAGGAATGTAGGTGAGCACTATATAAATAATCTAAAGAAAGCAAAGAAGGAAATATAACAGTGAATTTTAAAAACTGCTTTGGACTCTGGACATGTGG